TATATATTTTGGTAAAAGTAATATTTATGTTAGGTGGATACCTTATAAAGTAATAATATATATTTTAAATTATATAATATATTTATTTAATTTATTTTGCTTTATAAATAGAAAACGCTTCGTCTACTTTCTCATCACTCCCACCTTCCTCTCTTCAACCAATAACGCCTTCCTCTCCATCTCAATCTCATTCTCTCACCCTAGAAAACTCTACTAAACCCTAAATCCACATAAACAGGATGCCGGTTGACAGCTCGTCTCCTTCTGGACAAACTGTATGCGTTACAGGCGCCGGTGGATTTATTGCTTCGTGGATCGTGAAGCTTCTGCTGGAAAAAGGTTACACTGTCAGAGGAACAGTTCGGAATCCAGGTGATGATCGGTTTTCAATTTGTTAAAGGATTTTTCTTATGTGATTAATCGAAAGTATTGAGGTAGACGATGATGTGTGTTTGATGATATTGTAGATGATCCGAAGAATGCTCACCTGAGAGAGCTTGAAGGAGCGAGGGAGAGACTAACTCTGTGCAGAGTTGACCTGCTTGATTTTGGATCTCTCAAGGAGGCTATCAACGGATGCGACGGTGTCTTCCACACCGCATCTCCTGTCACCGATGATCCCGTGAGTACACCTACATATTAGTCCTGTCAACCGATTACTTGTTTCTGGCTTGTCACTTTCTGTTTGGTTGGTGAGAAAATTGGAAGTTCAAATGAAACCGAGAAAAAACAAATATTACTATAAATTAAAAATGTGAGAGACGGTTTTGACGGAAAGCAAGAGAAAATAAACAGTCACCATACCAGAGTCGTACAGATACGTTGCAAGTTCACGTTTCTGTTTGGCAATTATTCTTCCTACTTTCTGCGGGGTCCCATTCAATTCTTCAATTGGATTTGCTCGCACCAAACATTCCTTTTTTTTTTTTCAAATAATAAATAATAATTTATTACATATAAAAAAGAAAATTGAAAATATGAGGTGCTAATTTATTATTATAAAATCAATTTTAATTACTACAAAAAGAAAATTACAATTTATCAATTTAATTTTAAATAAATGGTGCATGAACGTCTTTTATATGTTTTTGGAGAGTTTAATCTTTGGAATATTAATACACAAAAAAAGGAGATTAATAAATAATTATGAACAGGAGCAAATGGTGGAGCCGGCGGTGAACGGGACAAAGAACGTGATACTAGCGGCGGCGGAGGCTAAAGTTAGGCGCGTGGTCTTCACGTCATCTATAGGTGCAGTGTACATGGATCCTAACAGGGGCCCAGATGTGGTGGTGGATGAATCTTGCTGGAGTGATCTAGAGTTTTGCAAGAACACCAAGGTGATCGATCAGCACGAAATTCAAATTAATCAGAGTAGAATATATATTTGAATTATGAATCGAAATTAAATGAATAAATCTGCAGAACTGGTATTGTTACGGGAAGGCGGTGGCAGAGCAGGCGGCGTGGGAGGAGGCGAAGGAGAAAGGGGTTGATCTGGTGGTGGTGAACCCGGTTCTCGTGCTCGGACCGCTGTTGCAGCCGACGGTCAATGCTAGTATTCTTCATGTGCTCAAGTACTTGACCGGTTCGGCTAAGACATACGCTAACTCGGTTCAAGGCTACGTGCACGTCAGGGATGTGGCCTTGGCTCACATTCTTGTTTATGAGACACCCTTCACCTCCGGCAGGTACCTCTGCGTCAAAAGCGTCTTGCATCTAAGCGACGTCGTTTGAGATTCTCGCCAAGTTCTTTCCCTGAATACCCCGTACCCACCAGGTATGTCATCCCTTTTTTCTTTTTCTTGTTTTTTATCTACTAATTAGCCAATAATCCAATCATTATTAAAATGTAAACTAATCTGGTGGAATTC